TTAATTTTTAAAATTTTCACAATCCCTAGCACTAAAATAGAAAATTATTTTCCAGGTCTTGAATTATCAATTATGGGAGCTTGGCGCCTCAGGTTTTCACTAATAAAACCTTGTTCTAATGGTAATGGTAAGGTAAAATATTGAAAACCTAAAGATTAGGTTCAAGTCTTTTCGGAACAAAAGTATATATCAATATTATATTGATTTCGTTCATAATTTTATCTTAGTGCTTGACTGATATACATTAAACAATTAATTGTTCAAGTCTTATTATTACTGTATATGCTGATTACTGGATTAAATTGTATATTAAATGCAAATCTGTGGGTAATGCTTTTAGAGGGTTTTGACTTGGTTGAGTTTTGTGGTCAAACAAATTTCTCAAATTTGAAGAAGCCGACTTGTGACTTGTGAGAGTAGGAATAATTTGGATATGCAAGATTCATGCATTATATGTAGCTTCACTTTTAGGTAGGATCTTACCCATATGCATAAATAATTAATTTGTTTTCAAATAATTAGACTCAGATGAAGTTTATATTAAGAAATTGAGTATGTCTATAAGTCACTTAATATTTTAAATTAAAAGAACAACTGCTCTTTTCTTTTTTGGAATCTTGGATGGTTAGGTGTATTTGAGTTAATTTATGTACACTTTGATATTAATCACTTTTTGACAACCTTAAGAAAAATGCATTTTTTTAATTTTATTTTTAAAATTTAAATTCTAAATTTAACTTACAATATGAAACTTTATTAACCAATAATCATATTCATGAGTTAAAGTACAACAACATTGAATATGTTATATGGAAAAGTGCATCATGCATGCAATAAATTTTTATTCATTTTTGGTACATTTTTTATTTGTTATTTAAAACATTAGGAAAATGATCCAGATAAATTCCTAAAAATGTTAAACTGGTCGGCAGTTGGAGAGTTGAAATCTAGTAAAGTACAAACTAAATGAGAAAATCCATGACCCAACAAAATAAATATATAAAAGCCTTAATTGGAACTTTAATTGCTGAATGTTGCTCCAAATATTAAAAAGGCAAAAGAAAAAAAAAAAAAAAACCCTGAAAAGGGAAAGAAAAAGGAAAATCTATAAATATCCAAAGCTTAATATTTTTTTTTCTTCTGGCCTTCAAAGCTTTAAAGTTTAATCTTAATTTTCTTTACATATTTTTGTTGCTGCCAGAATTCGAACATAAGACTTTCCACAATAATGTTAGCACTAAAATTGCTGAGCTACAGAACAAAGCTGATCTTAATCAAGTAATTACTCAACAAAGGTGAGAATCTGTTTTGATATGATTTAAGTTCTTACAGAATTGCTAATTTACAGGGTGAAATTATAGTATTTATTAATTTAATATTAGTTCAGCAAGAAAAAGATGCAACAGCTTAATCTACCTTCTACAGTGCATTATAGGTATAGACTGCAGAGTACCTATATATCAAACAGCTCTATGCTGCTGCATCCATCTCATTGCTCATGCCTGCCTGGTAAGTGCTAACACCGTTCTGTCAGGCAAAAAGTTTAATTTGAACAATGCCCTCTACTCTAGGAAGCAGTATACGGTTCAAATTTCACTTTCTTCCTGAATGAGACTAGGATTACATTGTTTTTATCTGCACCTGGAAGAGACAACAAGAAGTATTAGATTCAAGAGAAAAAAATAAAAATGGAAATCTTGTCTGCTAGGACTAGAAGGAGATGAATGGAGTGTAGTAGAGCTACTAAACTAACCCATTTATCATTTTCAGCAGAGTCTGGCGGCGAAAGTGGAGGAGGAACATGTCTCAAAAGGCCAACATCATCTGCTGCTATATCCACTACCTCTGGTATCTGTGATCTTGACTCTTCATTCTGCATTCCCTTCAAAACCTCCAAAACTTCTCCCATGGAAGGCCTCATATCCCTATCATTTTGCAAACAACGAAAAGCCAGTGCTGCGACAGCTGTAATCATTGTCCTTACAGCATAATCAGTTTCAAAGGCAAGAGATGGATCAACCAACTCATGCAACGCTTGATTCTGAATTCTGCTGATGGCCATGTTAGCCAAATTAATATCATGGCGGTGCCTGCTTGTGTCTACTGCTTGTTTTGCTGAAATAAGCTCAATCAGCACCACCCCAAAACTATATACATCACTCTTATCAGTTAGATGGTAGCACTGGTAATACTCCGGATCAACATAGCCAGGTGTCCCTTGTGGAGCAGTTGACACATGGGTAACATCATTGGGAAACAATCGTGACAGACCAAAATCAGCCACCTTCACATGAAAATTGTTGTCTAGAAGAATGTTATTAGTTTTGACATCACGATGTATTATGTCATTGGCATGAAGGTAAGCCAGCGCATTAGCCGTCTCTATGGCTATGCTCAGCCGAACAGGCCAACCGAGCAAATTACCAGTGTTTGCCCTTCCCCCATGAAGATGATCAGCCACAGTTCCATTAGGAATGTATTCATAAACAAGGAGAAGTTCTCTGCTGTGTCGTGAGGTGCATCCATAGAGTGTCACAAGGTTTGGATGTCGTATGTCAGCTAGGATCTTAATTTCATTTAAGAACTGCTCAACACGTCTGACATTGTTCTCATACAATCGCTTTACTGCAACAACACGCCCATCTCTGAGTACACCTGATCAAAGAATTGAAGGAACCATGAAAAAGAGCAGGAAACAAGGTATTTAACCAATGCCTTGCATAGTAATTAAAGTGATTCAAAGAAGGCAAGAACAACGTTTATCTTCTCACCATAGTAAACAGTGCCAAAACCACCATCTCCCAGTTCTTTAGATGGATTAAAATTATCGGTTGCTTCTTCAAGCTCGGCGTAGCTGAAGACCTGAACTCCAAAGTAGGTGCTTCCCATTTCTAGATGAGGCTTGGCTGAGGGATAAGAGGCAATGCTTCGAGAGAGATTTGTGGAAGGAGTACTAGTGCTGAGGCCTTTGCTAGATGGCGGTGTAGGCAAGGCTTTGCTTTGAGATTGAGCTGCAATTCTCTTTCTGCGCTGTCTCAATAATAAGCCCAAGACTCCCAGACCAATACCAACAATTACTGCACCAGCTATAGCAAGGGCTGAAGATGAAAAAGGAGAAAACAATGTTCACACTTTCCTTCTGTTATAATTTACTTCGGCCAAAATGTTATTCCTCATTCATTTTGGGTAGGAGATTTAGTTTTTTATCTAATAAAATAGAAATATAATAATTTATTGATAAAATTTTATATTTATTTTTAATTAAATATTATCTAAATAAAAATTTGTAATTAATATATATTATAAATATCATTTAAAATAAAAATTAAATAAAAATAAATATATTAAATGGTATTTTTAAAAAATGAACAATTAAATTTAAACATTTTAAATAAGAAATAAATATATTAAAAAACAAACTACGAGAATAATATAGAAATCTAAAATTTTAAGATAATTACCCACTCCAAGGGATACTCCGTCTGTCTTGCCTGCAACAATCACAAGATAGAGAAAGTTCAGTTCAAACATCTATGACAAGAATTGTAATGAAGTGTATTAGAAAAAGAATACTAATAAAAAGGATCATACAAAATAATCGAAGCCTTCCAAATTAACTTCACGCACAAAATCTGTCTTATATCATGGATTTGCATAATTTTATCCAACAATATAAACTCATAAATCTAAGTGTCACTATAATTAGTTCTTTTTATTTGATAAGTTGTATAATTAATATACATTTTTTTTCTATTATATGAAATGCTGTGTGTCAAAACTCAAGTGACCCTAATATTCTTTTAGATTGAGATATGCGGGATTTTTAAATTCAAATTGTTTGTTAAATTTGATTGACATTTATATTACTACTAGAATATTTTATAAGTTAGATTATATTTTAAAAATATAATTTATCTTATAAATTTATAAAATATTCTTAATAAAATTATTTTTTATAATATTTTATTTAAAATATTTTAATAAATTAATAAATCAAACTCTACTTTTAATATATAATCTATTTTATAAAACATAAATCCCTTATATTATACTACAATATTACACTACAATCACACTTTCTGTTAACCTGACATTCAAGGCAGGCATTACAGTCCTAGCAGAATCCCCATCCACCCACAAGAACGGGTTCCGTGTGGTATACGTCCACACGGAGGTACGTTCAAAGAGCAAGGACAAGTTCTGATTTTCTAGATCCAGAGCGAAGGTCGTGGAATTCAAGGCATTGGAAAATTCTCGAGTGCTCGAGTTGAATAATTAAATGAAACAAATTGTAGTAAGTAGTAACCTAGCAATAGCAATATAGATGAGCTCATTGAATGACGGTAATGGTGACTTTTTGAACCCAGGTTAGGTAAGCTCTAACCGCCTTGATCCTAAGGACCTCCTTTTGGACCTTTCATCAGGGTGGGCCAACTTTCTTTTATTAAAAATTTCAAAAGATATGTTCCATTATTGTAATAAAACGATCAATTGACTAAGAATTTATCAAGGTAAACAAACAAAAAAGCAATACCAAATGACCAATTACCAAATGGTAGTTTTACCTAACATCTTACCATTCAAATTACGACCTTACGATTTTGACAATAAAACTAGTTGATAGGGTATATGTGACACCTCTTCGCTTTACCACAATGAATTTGTATCTAACGGGATATATATGACATGAAGAGCAAGCAACCTATCACCTTAACATCCTAAGTAGAGGAGATTTAGCTGGAGAAATAAGAAACAAGACTAACCTGGACAGGCGGTATCATAAGGCTTATCTGTGCAGTAACAAGAAAACTTATTGTAAGTCGTATTATACCCACAGTTTCCGCCAGACTTTGTGCACCGATCACACAAGTTATTATTTGCATTCCACACCAACCCAAATCCCTTTGACAGAGCATTCATCAGAGCATCCGAGCTCGGACTCACAGTAGTCTCTAGGGACCCAATTTCAGATTTGTTTGCAGCCAGAATGACGCTGTTACTGCATCTACCCAAGGAGGAAGTGACTTCAGTCACAATTGGATCCCCTTCAAACCCACTGAAATTTCTCGCCAGGTAGTAACAGGAGGGGTTTCCGTTCATATCGCAATCAAATTGGTTGGAGAGTCCCTTGATCTGATTTGATACCGTGGGGCAACCGCAATACAGGGTTATGTTCAGAGTATCGGAGCTATATTCAAAGAGATCAGGAATCCGGGTGGTGTTAATGAGTGAGTTGGGGCAAAGGGTGTCTTCATAATCAGCTCTGGCCACGGTGAGAACTCCGGACTCCTCGTTGATTTGGAGAACTTGATATGTTGCCAAGGAGATTGTGATCTCTGGATCAGTGCCACTGCAGTTCAGCTCAAACCCCGGGAAGCCACAGTATTCCGGCCTGTCTGAACTCCAAAATGGATAAGCAATGTTGTCAATGTTTCCACATGAGATCGTCTTACCGCAGTTCACATAATGTTCATCCATGGCAAAAGCGGGTCTTGAAGCAAGGATCAAGACGAGGGTGACGAACAAGAAGAAGAAGAAGAAGAAGAAAGACCTGGATGGAAGAAGGGGATTCATTTTCGGGATGAAACAGGGGAACGAAGCAGGGGATGGAAAATGAGAAGATGGAGGTGAAGTGGTTTTATTCATTATGAAAACAAAATCGTAGTGTTTGACCATGTGAAAGGTGAAATTTTCAAAGGAAGGTTCTATTGAACAACTAAGGAGCGGCGGCTAATGGGAAGTTAGGTAGACTAACACGAGATATATGAATTGCATATGTCCTGTCTATTGGACTTAAATATTAGGGAAAACTCAATATTTCAAAAATACAAACCCAGTTTCCAGCTCTCCTCAAGTCAAAAAGCCAGCCTATCAAAATACCTTGAAATGCATAAATAGTTGGGCGTGTAAAAGGATCAAGATCGAGAACATGAGACTAAAACAGAATGAATGGTGGAGTATTTCTGGCTTCTAAGCCTGAATCCTTGAGAGCAAGAACAAAATTTCCAAGTCTCCAAATAAGATGACAGTAACATGATCAAGCAGAAAGGCATAAATATGACCACTGACCAGTGTTTCAAGAGGGAATCAATCTATAGTGTACTTACTAGAACCAGAAAGCTGTGAAGAGTGGCAAGAAAAAAGAGGGACAAACCTGGTCTTGGTGGACAAGTACTTGACCAGGGCTGGTCTTGGCAGAAGCAGGTGAATTGAGTTGTAGTCCTATTATATCCACAAACACCACCAGAATTCAAGCATCTGTTGCATTGATCACCACCTATTTTCCATTGCAGATCAAAACCTGCCTTCAGAGTGTCATTGACCATCATTGGATTCTCATATAGAGTTTGAGCAGCTGTTTCATTGATTGGAATTTGGACATTGCTGATGCATTCTCCAAGGAAGGGGTCATATGAACTGGTAATGGTAGCGTACAGCACATTGATGGTGGTAGTATTTATGATACAATTTAGAGATGGAGGAAGATAATAAGTGTTTGAACCTAAATAGCAATCATAGTATATGGTCAGGTTCTGAAGCCCACTAGAAACATAACTAAAGTGAGTGGAATCAATGGTGGTGTTAATGAATTCTGCAGGACAAATATCCTTCCAATAATCATCTCTGGCAACCTTAAGAATCTGCTGTTCTGGGTTGATACCGAGGACTCTGAACGTGTTTTGCAGCATCATGATCTTTGGTACATCATCCTGACAATCCAGCTTGAACCCAGGTTGACCACAGTAATCAGCTCTATTCACTCCCCAGAAAGGATAGCTGACATTTTCAATACTCCCACATTTAAAAGTTTGACTGCAGTTTGAGTACCACAAATCTTCGACACAAAAGCTGGTTTGAAGATTGATTGAGGTGAAAAGACAGATCAAGAGTGATGACAGAAAGATAGAAGAAAAACAAGTGGATTGCATCTCTGAAACTACAGAGATATTAGGAAGGAAACAGGATTGTAAATGGAAGAATGCATATGAAATAGTTGAGTTTTCTTGGTACATTTTAAGAAGAGGATGCTACTTGAATATACCTAAATGATTGAAAGTGACAGTGGAGCCAGCTACCTTTTTCAAATTAAGAGCAAAAACTACAAAACCCTCTAATTTAAATGTCACTAAGAAATGAGAATCTGTTTGAATATAATGGCTGACTATGGATTAAAATACATCTTCAGTCACCTAATAACAAAAGCATCTAAACTGTTGGACTTTTGCCTCTCCCAAAAGAGGGTCTCTCCTGCCCCCTTTAAAAACTCCAGCATAAACATTGATAGTTAATTGATAATTAGTGTTCATCGCATTCTTCATGTTGACTGAGCTCTTAGGAAAGTATAGTTTGGACCTCTTACAGCTGTTAGACCTCAGTTATTGAAACCCTTTGGAAGCAGAAGTATACTAAAGAGCAAATATCTCTCAGTTGGAATTCTTTTCTTTTTTGTTGTTTCTTTCTAATATTTGAGTTAGTAAATGGTGGCATTCTCTAGCTCCCATGTAAACTTTGTTATTTAATTTTAATGAAACGCGTATTAAATAGCAAATTTAGCTGCAACATGAACTCCTAACATTTGAAATTTACTTCTTCCATATGTTTGTCCAATGTTTTCCTATACTCAGTAGAAAGATTGAATTAGATGTCCAAATCAAAATGACAGGCTGACAGATTCTTCATGCAACAAGACAAAGATTATTCATGTTTTTTTATGAGGAAAAAGATTATTCATGTTTAATTGCAGAATATGAACCAAGAAATTGCCTTTTTAGACATTTTCTTTCCCTTTTCCTTTTGGTGGGATGAAGAAGGCTCTTTTCTTTATTGTATGGGTGTCTCCTTTTGACCTTAGGCACACCGACTGAATGGTCCATGAGGCAGTGGGTGGCAATGGATAGTTGTCCATATTAGTTACCTAAGAACAGACATATTACCTAAAGCTTTTATGGTTGGCTGCTGTATAATTGTGATAAACCACTAAAAATTAAATGCTTGGTGTGATGGTGTGGTACCACTTAAAATAAAGGGGAAAGTGATGGTTTGGTAGATGAAGCTTTTGAATCAGTCTTCGCTACATAGTCAGCAGGATTTCTCTATGCTTAACAAATTTAATATGCAGAAGATGAAGGAAATTCAGTGTAAAAACCAGTAAGAATCTAAGTTGAGTGTTTTCTTCTATAAGAGTACCTTGAAATAAAGGTACTTACCTGACTTATTGGCTGCTGCTGGTGCTGGTGGTGGTGGTGGTGGCAGCGCTGGAAGGGAAATGGTAGCAGGCACGTTAGCAGGAGGGGGAGGGCATTCTGCAAGTGAAGTACTTGATCCCAGACAGTAGCAAACCGTTTGATTGTTGTCAATGCCACACTTTCCCTTGGAATCTAGGCACTTCTGACACGCTTTGTCATCCACCTTCAACTCAACTTCAAATCCATATTTTAAGGCTTGTTCGATCTCCTTTCCTGTGGAGGCAGATATATGAACCAGCACAGTGACGCTAGCAGAACAAACCAGAGGACCAGTAACTCCTGGTACGATGAGTCCAATGCTTGAATGGAAAACATTATTGCAACTGAAGTTTGCAAGGAGGTCAAATGGAAAGAAACTCGGGCAGCCATAGAGTAATGTAAGAGGTATATAACCCAGAGAAATGACGAAGAGAGTAGTATCCAGGGTTGTGTTCTGGATATTCCGGGGACAGAGTCCACCCTCATAGTCCTCCCTTGCAATCCTCATTTTGTTGTGGTTGTAGGGCGGATCAATCGCCAGAACTCGATATCGAACCCCATCAATTTTTATAAAAGCGGTATCATTCTCACACTGGAGTTTAAGCCCTGGATAGCCACAGTAACTAGGTCTTTGCTCCCCTCCCCAGAATGGAAAATCTGCAACAATTTTCCCACACCTGAACTGATTACTACAGCTTCTGTAGTACAATTCAGGAGTGCTTGATGTCAAGGGATACTCAAAGATAACCAAGAGTAAAACAAAAAGGAGGAAGTAGTCCATATTCCTGAAGAGGTGGGGTAGTGGAGCTGAAGGGATTAATGGGTGAATTTGGAGAAATGGTTGGTTTGGGAGGAAAGAAATAATGATATAGAACGGAAGTGCCTTAACGAAGCCTGTGAAGTTAACTCAAAGAAAGCGATAGGGGGGAAATTGGCTGCCATTTGTTGACTTAAAGGACTAGCTTTTCAATTTTGCATCACTCTACTGCTAATTTCCCTGGGGAAAAAAAATCTTCTTCCCTGTAGACCAGAAAAAAGACAAGTTTTATTGTTAAATCCTAGTAGTATTGTGCACTGCCCTAGCTAATTAACCATTACTTGAAACATATGCTAGACTACCGTATTGTGCAATACCATCAATCTACAGTAAGTGTTCATCTGTAGTCTTAGGCTTCGCTTAGAAATGTTGTGTAGTGCTTTAGCTTTTAGGTTTTTATTTTTTTTATAATTTAATTAATATTTTAAATATTTTTAAGATATCAAAATATTAAAAATACATTTTGCTACAATCTATCTACTGAAAACGAAGGCTTAATTGAATAGTTTATTCTGATCCAATGACATAAATGTTGATTAGAATCATTTATCTTTGAATGACGGGTTTGAATTTCATGGAAATCTTCTTTTTTTTCAATTAATATACATAAATAATTGTATTTAGCCTTAAAGACCTAATGATATTAATCATTAAATATGTACATTCTTTTTCTCCTAAACAAGTTTTGATTCCACGTCGTATCAAAATGTTTAAAATATATATATATACATAAATAATTTAAATATGTTAAAAAATAAAAAAACGAGGCCTTAATTACATCTAACCATCGAAATAAAAAATAAAAGCATGGACGGCTATGATCATCTGACAATCGTTCTGATTCCGTAGATGAGCGGGCGCTAGATTGAAGATAGTGGAAGGGTGGATGACAATTGCGCAATTAATGTGAAAGTGACCTTACTCCACACGGAAAATGAAATGGGTAAAGGAACACAAAATGAGACTGCTTTACACGCTTTGCACGCAGACTGGAGTTTCATTTCTTCCTTTGATTTGTTCTCCCAAATGGGGAAAATCTTCATTTTTCAATATATACAGTGAACAAGACAAGTCAAGTCAATCTGCTCAGTTGTGGAATGGAAGTATGAATCCAAGTCCTGAAATCTGATATCGAAAGCAAATCATAGGAACATCTGCATCTCTTTATCATCTCCAAGTGCTGGTATGCAGCTTGTTCAGCAGCCTGCAAGCAAGTTCTCAGTTACTAAAGTCCTTTGATGTTAGAGCAGAGCTCTTTCCAAAAACAAAGAGCAAAAATTAAATCTTGCTTAATAAAAATAAAAATAAATGTATGAAAGTTTAAATTTGAAACATCAAAATTAAGTTTTGAACTCTTATTTTAAAACAACTATATGTTTCGATAAGAGTGAAATTTTTATATAATTTTTACATATGATTAAATAAATAATATATTTAATATCATAAATTTCATATAAATTAAAAAAATTAATTATTTTAATAATACATTATATTATATAAAAAAATAAAACAAAAGAATTATAGAAAAAATATTTTGATATGAGTGGCATTATTGTCAGAGCCTTAAAAGTTAACACCACAGCTTTTTTAATTAATTAACCATTTTGCCCTCTCTTATATTTTGCTTTTATTTTTCATGTCATCTTCTCGCGAGTAAAATCTTTAATCCCCTCTCAGGAAACCATCTTTCCATTGGTGGAGGCACTGCCCATTTAACCTCCCAATCACATCAAAATAACCAAAATTTCAATCTCAAACACAGAAAGTCACACTCATCAACAAGCCCAAAAGCAATTTAAATGTTATTAGATTATGGTTTGGTGAAATTTTGAATAAAGATTACATTCTCCTACTAATATTACTTTATTTCTTTATTAAATTTCATCAGATGAATTAGTAAACAAGAAAGCAATCACTTAAATAGGAAAATTTCAATTTTAATCTATAGGGATTTTGGGATTTAGAAATGAAAACTGAAGAGAGGAAAAAGCCATGGGAATGATTACAGAGGGGGAAGAACAACGGAGGGGAAAAGAAAGTGAATGGGGGAAAGGGAAATCAAAGAAATAAGGAAGAGAGAATCAGCAAAACCAACTAGAAAAGGCACGAATTTTTTAATGGCGATTCTCTGAGGGTGAAAGATGGAAACAGGTTTTAGAGAAAACACGAGAAAGGCGGTGACTGCTGTGAGTTGGATTCAAATGAGGGGTATAATAATCAAATAATTAAAAAAGGTTTGGTGTTACCAGTTGTGGTGTGGTGTTAAACATGTTCTGCTTATGATGTTAGGCAGGGATTTGCCTTCATGAAAGCATTGAGAAGCGGTTTCTGTACATACACAAATCCTAGAACCCACTAGACGCCCATAAATTAGTAGTAATTAAAAATAAAACAAACTGCAAAAGTGAAACATTACCTTACTCAGTAAGTGCCTCCTCTGTGGACTGTCTTTTTATGAATTCAACTACAATAATTCTTCAAGAAATTAAGCCACCCTAATTTAGCAAGTCTTTTTCCTTAAATCTAGATAAGAAGATGTGCATATTTATTTCAACTGCTAAATATGTTTAAAATTTAATT